AACCATTAGTATATTCTTTAAAAGCGTAAAGCTTTAAAAATAAGGTCTTTCTCTTAATATATTCTTTAAAAGCGTACTAAGCCTTGAGAAAAGTGTCGTTTATGTGTATTTTTCTTATAAATATGGGAAGAAATTTGTATATAAAGGACATAGCAGTTGCATAGGTCTCCTTTTATATTTGTTTCTCTTCAACAAAAGAGCTGATCCTCTGGAATAGGCATTCATCAGCCTGTTGTTTGCCGTTGATGGCATTAAAAAAATGTGAAAAAGAAACTAGGGCTTAGTGCAATGTTCGGCATGGTTTCCTTATGTAAAGTGAGGAATACTGAAAGAAGAAATGGAAAAGGAGGAAAAGTATTTGCTGGGGATACTTCTGTTACAGTGTTATAAAATAAGTTGAACATGCAATATAATATAAGAGTAGGGTGTAGGTATAGGTACTGAAGAGGAAATCAGTACAAATATTCAAGCGTTTTATATCATGAAGCAAGAGAAATTCACATACTTAGGTGATTCGCAAACTTATGTGTACACGGGTACACGGATGCATATGGAAGCTGCCATGTTATATACTCATGTTCAAAATTAAGAGAATTTGCACGTTCTGTCGAATTTCTGAAATACTTGAGGGCAGGATTTTATGAAATTTGGTGCGAATATATATTTATAACAGAGTAAGGAATTTATAATCCAAAAAGTCATTTTACATACACACGATTATCAGTAAAGTAGTATATAGAGCAGGGATGTCCAGAGTCTACGTTGTGATATCGAACGGAAAACGAGTCTAATACAGGATATGGTTCCTTATGACAACTAGAAAGGTCACGCAGCATGATACATACTGGACAGGAGGCAGTTGAGAAATCCCTGTGACAGTCGATTCCACTCCTGAAGCAAGGTAGTTTTCAACTCCAGAATTATTCTTGAAGGGAGATAGTAAGATGAAATTTACCTTCCAAGAGCGTCCCAGAAATGTCCAAGAGCGTCCTAGACATTAAGGCCAGGAGATCTGGGTGGTCAAATAATACGGAAAATATTCTCACAAATAAATCAAATATATTAGGAGATCTGGTGATCAATCCATGCGGCAATTATCCTCAATTTTCACGTAACCATCGACCAGTTGAGCCCTGTGTGGACAAGAGTTGTCATCCATTAACAGGAATCCAGGACCAACTGCGCCCCTGAAAAGTAGAATATAGAGCTCTAAGATCTTTTTATACCTCATTACAGTCGGGAAGCCTTTGTCAAACACATGCAGTGGTGTGCAGTCGTTCAACATAATGTCTGCCCAAGCCATTACATATCCACTATCGTAATAATCCTTTTCCCTGATGAGGAAGGGATACTATCGTGTTCCAAGCACTTTCCAGATACAGGTACGACTAGAATTAGTGTCAGGATAAATCTATACCCATACTATGTAAAATGTACGGTGCTCCTTTGAAGTCTGGTCCGAAGTGCATGTTGACTGCACCATGCTAAACGCGCTGTCTTGTGGCTGTCTTGTATGAGCGGTTTCGCAAATTGCAGACGACACTGTGCATTACGTTGTTACATTCAACTCTGTAGCCACTTGCGCTTGACCTGCCCCCAATCTACCGACAATTTTTTATCTCATTCCGTCATGAATACTTGCGTGGCTACTCATATTAACTATTCATTTATTTCTAGAATAGGCTTAAACGTCCTAATGGTAAAAAATTCACTGGAAGTGGTTTCGTTTCCGTTAAAGCCAAATATTCTTGAAGAAAATTCTCTATTTGCATCCTTTTAATCTAGCACTTTTCAGGGAACTGAAGTTCTGCCGGTAAACAGACATTCCTCCTGTTGCTCGGTTTCTTTCCACTCTAAAGAAATCTCTGCACCTAAACTGTAATTGTAATACTTCTGAAAGTTTTTTCAATTTCTGTATGTCAAATCTGGGATTAGGTTTCATCTAAAAGAGTAAACGGAAAGAAGGGAAGAAATGGACCAAAAGAGCTATAAATTAACGCTTAAAATTAACGTTATAAAAACAGTATTCAGATTTTTCAAATAACACTAAAAGTTTCATTTTATTTTATGCTAATATTAATGTCAAATACAGGAATTCTTTTCAATATATTCGGATATAATTATTCAGTCACAAAGATTCACAAAGATGTATAACAAATAAGCTGCAAAGCATTTAAAAATGTCTGTTTGGTACTCAGCATAACATCACACAGTTTAGTAGCTTGTATAGTTTTTCGTTAATTATTATATTTTAAAATTGACTTATTTTAGATTTCTGAGAATTTTTCTAATATTTTACGGAAAATGACGTTTTAAAAAAGAAAGTGTAGCTATTTTGGTAAGTTTGGGGAACAGTTGCCTTCTGCACGTCTAGTCTACTATGTTATACATTTATGAGCGCTAAGACTGTCAAATTTCAACAAACCTTTGTTAAATGTAAAAGTTAATCTTTGTTGAATATAATTCTTCAACTTTCGAAAGATAAATTTTCTTTCCTCTCTCCCCCAAACCTGCCTCTGTTGCTGCTTTACGGGTTTTTAGAATATCCTGCAGAAGAAAAATCACGTAAAACATTGCATTACCCTTCGCATTTTTTCAGAGCCATTTTCACTTCACTGTTTAGCGGACCTAAATCATCCAAATACCAACAGATTGCAAAACACGAAATATGACATTTACTACTTTGAAAGGTTACTTTTGCTTCACAAGAGTGCAATAAACAGACGCCATCAAGAAAGCTCTCGCCTAATACAGGGTGCTTATAAATGAATGGTGCGATTTTAAAAATTAGTAATAAATCGCTGTATTACCTTACTGGTGTAAAACATACACTTTAAGCAATGGTAGAACATCAGAAACTGTCCAAGTTTCTCAGTGCTACCTGCTGTTTGCTTGTGTTGCTTACTACGCAGGTGCAGCGACTGTTTCTAAGATGGCGCATTTTCCAAGACGTCAGTTTTCCAAAACAGAAAAACGCCTTACTCCATGCTCTGTTTCGAGGTGTTTAAATCTGTGGTTTCCGTGTAGCCTGAGTTTCGTGTACGTTTTCAGCGCGGTTTTCCATGAAAGAGTGCATAGTGCATTTTTCTTCTACCAAGAAACTGTGATCGGTAACTCATTTCTAGATAAGTCGGAAACCTGGTTGTTACCCTGGCTGAACACCAGTTATGATGATTACATTTTGCAACTGGACGGTTCTTCTCTCTATTTTCGCAAGAATGTATGAGAGTTTCTTAATTGCGTTCTTCACCAACGATAGACTGGACATGCTGCAATAGCAGAAAACAACATTCTCCCCTGGTCACCCATTCGCCGCATTTAACACCATGCAATTTCTTTCTTTGGGGGTTTGTTAAAGAGACACTTTATGTACCACCATTGACCGCGTCGCTTGAGGACGTTTGTGGTCGGATTAAGCGTGCACTGCACACCGCCGTCACGGCGGACATGCTACGACTACAGGAAGGATCTGATTACCGTGTAGACGTGTGTCGTGTGACCAAGGGTGCACAGGTTGAAAGATTGTGATTAATGCATCAAAACCCTGGGCAGTTGCCGATGCTTATGATGTAAAGTTTGGCCATATTAAGTAATACATCGATTTATTATTAACTTTTAAAATGACACCTTTCATTTTTTACATTCCGTATATTTGGCTGCAAGATTTGCGATGAGGACGAAATGCCAAAAGTCCTCAAATATGACTTCTGATGACCAGTTTCAGCTAATGTAACTGAAGATAATCTGAAACCGAGGAATACCTCCAGACTTGTTGCGACCTTTAAAACAAGGAAGCAGGTGCCTACAATGCAAGAACTTCGGGAAAACTAGCTTCCTTATACTAAACACTGATAATTAAAGCATGCCACTAAAGAAAAAACCATTTAAACACTAATAATTAATAACAAAAATTGTAACATTTTCATGCACTATAATCATCTTAAACACGCATTTCTGCATCTAGTTGGTTTTTTATTAACTTATGTTTCTTTCTGGCCATTTTAGAAAGCTTTTGGTAAGCGAGATGGGCCTCACAAATTCTACCGCAATCTATTTTCGAAAAAACTTTACCGTATAAAACCCTGGTTGTATTCTCAATAATTCCATTATTTATTGCGGCCTTTTACACCATCATTAAAACATATTACCGCATCTAATAAACCTAATTTTAATGTGATGACACTCACAAAACAGTTTTTGGTATGCATGTCCAGATGCAGTTATTAAAATTTTCATTCGGGTTTTGAATTGTTGTTGTTGACTTGTCTGACGTATAGCAGCACAAGGAGCACCTGTCGTTATGGACAGGTGACAGTGCGATTTAGCTGAATTCCGCCCCCCCCAATTTTGATGGAGAGCACCCCAGGGTGGTCAGGGCCGAAGCTTTCCCATCCTTCTTACCTCACAACCCACCTCTCGAGGGGTCTTTCGGCTCGCCGCATATTTTAGGTGCTTCCATGCTACACGGACACTAGCAGCATGGTAGTACCTTAAGATCTACGAGATTCACCTAAAATCACCGAGATTTGGACCCGGCTCTTCGGCACGGCAGTCAGCGTCGCTAACCGATTGAGCGGTGGGTTTTCACTTCTTTCATGAATGCAATTTGACAGTAGTTTTTTGTCAGAGAGACTTCTAAAGACTTTTTCTCAGCTAATAAATAGGTTTATGAACATACATTTTACCAGCTGATATGGCTTTATAGTTGCCACACCAAACATCTGCCCATTCTCAACTGGTGGGCTTGCTAGTGCTTGTTTACATTTTGTAATGAAAGATTTCGGTCTTAAAATTTACAAACATTGATAAATTATATATTTTTGGAATCGTCTCAGGGTACTTTATTTTTTAGCCTAAAATTGAAATTTTGGATATTTGAAAATTTTTATGTCATATGTCGCCTTAATTTAGTGTAGCTAATTTAATGCAGTTTGAAACACATACGTGAATCTTATTCACTTTCCATATTTTAATATAAATAAAAGACTCAAAGGAAAAAAGCAAATGAACAAGTATAAACTTTATTACTTTCCTTTCTTTATAATAGCGAAACCATCTGTTTCTCGACTGACATATTAAACGGGATCTTTACATTAATACAGACAACTGATCTTACAATATATACGTGCATTACAAAGTGACAATATTTTAAGTACATCTTAGCTTGACAAACATATTGTACACAGGATTACTTCATTTCAACCAAAAACACTGATGTTACAACGAATCATTTTCGCGCTCGACAACTGCTTCTGAAAAACATGCTGACAGAAACAATACTAATTGTTCTTCTTAAAAACATAAAAAACATTGATTTCGCATTCCAAATTGTATACTTTTATGCATTCTCTATTTATTTACGAAAATACTGTTATTGCACTGCAAAACTTCGTAACATCTTATAATAAACTTAACTTTTTTAAACAAATGCGACGTAAAATTTCATATCACATTGACATATAAATTAAAAGAAATAAAGATAGCTGCCTTTACCTAAAAATATTTAAATAAAACTAAATAATTTGGGAAAGAAATTTAATTTATATTTACATAATAAAACTAAGCAAGTATTTATAACTTTGAACTTATCTTATAGATACATATAAGGTGAATTCAGACTTATAAAATAATACATTAGAATCTTTAGACAAAATTATTTTTATCATTGAATACATAGCGAAAATAAGTTGTACCTTCACTTTCTAGTCGAAATCTTCAGACGTAAGCAAAACGTTTCAAAATAAACTATTTTACCTTTAATGTCCATTTTTGAGTGGTTAGGAAAGTATATCTTACTTTTTAACATATATTTAAAGCTGAATTTTATTATGAAGTATAAAAGTCATTCCATGAAAATTTTCAGAAATAGAACTAATGTAATATCAAGTAAAAAAAGCAGTTTTAATTAATTCATGACTATCATACATTATGCACACATAAATATATTTGGAATGTCAATTATGTTAATAAACGTGTCAGTTAGCCAGATAAGCAGAACAAAAAAGAAAATATTAAGAATTCACCTGAACGTAACTTACTTAAATGTATTAACTTAGAAATTAAAATATTAAATACGATAGAAATTTCTAATTCGCTAGACTCCTCGAGCTGATTTTAACAGTTAAAAATATTCCATGAATGCATATTATATTATTTTAGTCAAAATAAGTGTGTTATATTTACAGTTTCTTTGTATAGAATAATGGATTTAAAAATGGTTTATTCATAAAGTATTTTGCGGAAGTATAAAATTTAAATATTTTAGAAATCTAATGCATAGAAACATTCATTTTGAATTTAAAAGCATGATATCCCAAGACATAAAAGTAAAAATTTTGTTCCACTGCATTTTTAAACCAAAATGTAATGATAATTTAAAATAGAATATACCCAACATAATGTAATCTTTATTTAAAATACATAGCTTCATCATAAACATATCAAAGAAACATATCTCCAAATAAATTCTTTATAAAAATATATTATTTTGAAATCTTCACAATGTCCAATTGTTGTTCACTGTTTTATAGCAACAAGTAAAACAGGATATACTCGATTTCCGTTTTTTAAGATTAAAAACGAAAATCGAAGTACATAGATATAAATTTAATGAACACGCTTGTTGGGCGAGACGTTTAATTGTATGAAAAACGTGGGGATAAAAGAAATAAACGGTATACATTTAATTCTAGTCATCTACCAGAAATAGTAGAGAGATCTCACGAACTCACTTACATATGTAGCAACAGAAAACTATGTCACTCAAACACCCAACCAAGATATATGTTCTTCTGACATTAAATCACCCACCCGCTTAAATTACTCATAAAAGGAAAAATCTGAGAATTATGACATACAAAGATAACAAGTAATCAAAACAGATTACACCAAACTCTCCTCTTTATATGTATCTTGTGCCATTCTTGCCATGGAAATATTGTTTGCTCGTTTACTGTCGGAATCATTGGTTTTGTTCCCTAAAAGTCCTGTAAAGAATTCTTTTAGCGAACTTCGAGATCCTTTGGGAAGAATGATCTCATCACAAGAACGCCATTTCTTCGAAGGAAGTCTCAGTACTGGGGGTTTCAGTAAAGAAGATGACGTCTTCTCTGTATCTTTGGGCAAAACTAGATCTACTTTCAAATCTTTGTTCGTACTCAGTAGTGGCCGCAAAGATTCATCAATATTGATCAAACCATTCCTGTTGTTAGATTCGACTGCGTCAGACCTGCAATGACAAGAATGCTCGGAACTATTAGCGCACTGGTCGCAGTCCTCCGAACCGATGCTTTCTAGCTTCGGTTTTTTTAACTTAGATGGGATGAAAGAAATATCGATATCTGTACGCCCCGCAGAATCCATGCAGTACAATTCTCCGCAACTGCTAGCTGAAGCACTTCCGAACCAACTTGTTGTGTCGGGGTCTTGCACACGTAGCAATTTATTGGGATCACCGTGCCCTGGACACAGGCGTTTTGGAGAACGAGGATTTTCCTGAGATAATCTCAGGAAGACTGGTACTCCAGGTGAAGGTGGAGTATCGTCAGCACAAGTGACATATGAACTGTTGCGGCGTCCTGCGAGTGAACCTCGTCTCCCTGCGTCACTGAGCTTCGGACTTCTTCTTTTCATGTTTTCTTCTCGATGAACATTGAAGAGAGGTTGAGGAGGCAGAGTCTCTGAAGCTGTACTACAGCGTTTTCTTGGTCCTTTCGAGTGGCCAATAAGCCAAAATGTCCTGATTTCCCCTTTGCCCTGAAAAGCAATAAAGTATATTTAGGGTATTTATTTCACAATATGAAAAACTTCAAACCAGTATACACTTTTAATAGGTTATTTTTTAAAATTATACCAGTATCCACAAGAATAAACACAATTGCAACGGTCGTAGGCCAATCAACCTAAATTTTAAACTGCCGTACATGTCTTATCGCATTAAATATGGTAGCTAATCAAGGAGAGCATTAAAATGCAGGTACATGTACAAACTTTCGAGTCCGAAATAGAAATACAGAGATTTCCAGCTGATAGAAGTGATATCTTTGGTTTTAAAAAACATAAAATAATATATTTTAGATACATGATAAAATACCTACTACTACAGTATTAATATGAAAGATATGTTTAATAAATTAACACGTAACCTTCAAAACTTCAAAACATGCAGTTTTTTAAAAATTCTACGAGATCATTCTTTTATAGTTCTATCAAAACCTCCAGGCGAAGAAAACATTTTAACTGTTCAATTATCTTAGAAGATAGGGAAAGAATGGCAAATGATACATAAACATATCCTTTCACATATGAATCGGTCTCGATTATTAGCTTTTGAAACACTCTCTTATTCAAAAAGAACTCATTCCATTAACACATAAATATTAAAAGCAGAAACGTTCGAAAAGAAAATGAAGAAGAACGAGATAAAGGAAAGAGTAAAGAGTAATGAAGAGAGGAGCACTTATTTAAAAATATTAAGTTTGTTGTAATTAAAGTTTAATAATTTATTTAATAATTTAGTTAGTACGCTTGTAAAGAGCATATAAACTTGTAATTTACTGGAAAATAAAAGTCAAACCAAAAAATTTCAAATTACCTATAATTTAAGCATACAAACTTACAGGCAGATAAAAGCAATTTAAATTATTAACGTAATCATTAGGATGATACAGTAGTATTAGTCGACTTTTTACTATGACTACAAGAAATATCAGCGTAGTAATCGCTCAGACAATTACAATGACGTAATGTTCATGTAAACGTAATCTAATAATTGTATATAAATGTATATAAATATAATGTTTATATTTCACAGAAGTGTCAGTATTTTTGGAGAATCTTTGAATTTAGATGTTTCACGATCAGAATGGACGTATCCTCGGTCAACTGGAAGATAGAAAAGGTAAGATAATTTAGAAATATTAATTTTGCGTGAGAATGTACATATATTTTTTGGCTTTGGGACGGTCGAGTTAAGAATAAGAATTTAGAATAAAAGATTTAGAATACAAAAGTTGATTACAGCGAGAAAAATAAATTAAATTAGAACTTTCCTACAACTTCTGCATTTTTTATTGATGTGAAAAAGGTACATTTTGTATAAAACCTAAAACTTGAATAATTCAAATAGTTAAAATGAATTTGAAAAAGAGTAGAAGTCCTGTCAGACGAGCGGTAACTGACACTATGAAATTATTAGAAAGCGAAATAAACAAAGAGGAAAGGTCAGTTGATTTAATTGACGAACTTTCGGCGAAACTTTTAGAGAAGGAAACAAATTTGACACATCTTGATGATGAAATTCTAAAACTGTGCAAAATTGACTAAATATAAAAGGAAATTGAAAAACAACAAGAATACAAAGATATCATTATTACGAGAGAAGGCGAAATTCAAAAAAAGAATGCTGTAAAACCAAAAGTGAGCTATAAAATACAGTAAAACTTCCACGCTTGCAAATACCTGAGTAGGATGGTAATATATTAAGGTTTCGCGAATTTTATTCTCAAACTGAAGTAGCTATTCACAGAAACGAGTCTTAGTAATGTAGAGAAGTTTAGTTATTTAAAATCGTACTTAAACAGACGAAGATGAGGTGGCTGTACGTGGTTTAGCCTTGAGCTCTGAAAACTATGAAATTGCCTTGAACATACTATAAGAATGATTTGGCCATAAATATATTATTATAGACGTGCACATATTAAGGCTTCTAAACATAAGACCAGTACAAAAATCATATGACACTGTGTCGATGCGTAGACTTTATTCAGGATGCGAAACACATATTCAAAGATTAGAAAATAGCGGAAAAAATTCTAACAGTTATAGTTGCCTATTGTATCCAGAGTTGTTAAAATTGATACCTAAAGATTTATCATTAGAATTTTCTCGCAGAGCCCATTCAAAAAATTAAAACGAAATGTTTGATTTATTGGCATTTTTGAAGATCGAAATTCAGTTTTGTGAACGTAACGAGTAGTTTAGTAGAGACTTTAATTTAAGCACTTCAGATGTCAGTTTATTTATAAACTTTGGTCGTAGAGGTAGCTGGGAAAATCTTTAAGGATTATTTAAGACTGCTAATAGATATCGGAAGTTTGAACACGTACATAAGTCAATATGCTGCTAAAACGTTAAGATTAGAGAAGACAGTGATTGAACGAATTGAACATGGGTTATTTGGAGGTGTAGAAGTTTCTGAAGATCATAACCGTTATCAAATAGCTTTAACTAGTTTAGACGGAAAGTACAGGTGTAAAATCGACACTACACCAGAGAAGAATTTATTCGTCACTACCAAAGATCAAAGACGAAAAGTTGATTAAAATATATTGAAGAAAAGGAGAATCCTTACTAATTCAGAAGTCAAACAACAAAAATCAGCGTTATATTTTCAAAATGTTCACAGTTTAATTAATTTTTCTGTGAAAATTTTGAAAATATAACGCTGATTTTTGTTGTTTGACTACTGAATTAGTATTTGTTCGGCGTGTTGTTGTGTCTTAATTAGGAGAATCCTTATCAACGACAATCGTGCGAATGGAAATCTCTGTTTGTTTCAAGAAAATCCTGAAGAGATTCATATGCTGTCAGGAGCGGACACAGCACCACAGTTGTTCACTGAAAGAAGGGATTGCACAGCCTTTGAGGCCAAGTTAGGCTGGACTTTAATGAGCAAAATAAAAGAGTACGCGAATACATCGACTTCCCTGTTTCTTTATCCTTACATGTTTCTGATACAGATTTGTCTAATCATTGGCGTTTAAGACACCTTGGGGATTTCAAGTGAGGAAACCAAAACGAAAAGTGTGTTAACATTTCTTAGAAAGTGTAAAACGAGATGGCTGAGGGAGATATGAAGTAACCCTACCCTTTAATTTAGATAAATCTGTCTTATCCAGTAACCGGAGTGTGGCAGAAAGACATCTCTTCAAAACCGAAAGTAAATTCATTAACATATACAAAAGCATAGACTACGAAGAAATACTTGATCATTGGGAAGCGAATGAAATTATTCAGGTAGTAATTAAGGAAAAGGAGAAAGGACTACATTACTTGACAAACAGACCCTGTAATAAAGGAATCTAGTGAAACTGCAAAAATACGACCTGTTTTTAATGCATCTGCAAGTTCTAAAAATTCACTTCTCAATGATTGTTTGAGTAAATTTTGATAGAATTATTTAATAGTTTTAATAGAAATTATTCCACGTATATTAAATTGTTTTCGAAAATATCGCATAAGAGTGTCATCTGAGATCAAAACGGCCTTTTGTCAAATCAAAATGGCAGAAAAGGATATATATTTTTTAAGATTTCTGTGGTTCGATAATCAACATAACTTGAAAATTTACCGACATAACCGAGTTGTTTCTTGGACTCATCTAGTCCATTTCTGCTAGCCGCAACACGTAACCATCTTTTGACTACAATCTCAGAAAAGTTTGTAGAAACTTTTAATAATTTAAAGCATTCATTTGACCACGATAATTCGATATTTAGCTTAAATTGTGTAGATGAAGCCGAAAATTTCGTTCAAGAAGAAAAATTGATTTTGGTTTCAGGGCATTTGAATTTAAGATATTGTCGATCAAATTTTCGCATCGGCATGATCGACGAGATATAGAATACGTCGAATGTTGTATCAGTATTAGGATTAGTTTAGGACTTAGAAAAGGATAGTTTTAGTTGCAAGATCGAAGAAACATTTAATTTAAGGGAACCTATTACCAAAAGAAAATTTTTATCAGCTACTCAGAAAAGTTTTGATCCCATTGGCTTTACTGCACCGATAACTGTAATTCCTAAACTGATTTGCAAAAACCCTCGGAACCAGAAGATAAAGTGGGATGAAGATCTTCCTCTGCCTCTAAGTGAGCAGTTTGGGACTTTGGTTGAACCAATTACCTCTACTAGCTCAGATTGAAATTCCTCGATGGTTAAATATTGATTATGAAAACGAAGATGCCGTAGTTCTCCACGTTTTTTCGGATGCTATTAAAACAGCCTATGCCACATGTGCATTTTTAAGAGCTGAAACCACCGAATGTGTAAAGGTTCAGTTAGTAAGCACAAGAAGTCCAGTAACCCCAATTAAAGAACTTACGATTCCACGCCTTGAACTTCTCTCGTGCCTGGTAGGTGGCAGGCACGCAAAATCAACTCTATGAGACTTGAAACTTAAGAATTGTAGAACAGTGTTCTGGAGTGATTATTCTACAGCTTTGGAGTGGATAATAAGGGATCAAGCGTGGGGTACATTTGTTCCCAATCGTGTAAAAGAAATAAGATCGTTTACCGCAATATCTAACTGGAGACAAGTATCTGGAAGTTTAATCTAGCGGATCTCCCATCGAAAGGATGTACTATTAAGCAATTACAGAAATCGGCATGATGGGAGGGTTGTCGAAGTGATTGACGAGTGGCGCCCATGTCGAAGAAAAGCCCCATGAAGAACTAATGAACACAGAAAAAAGGAAAACGATTTTAACTCTTCTGGACCATGAAGACAATTTGGACTGGTACTACAAATACTTCTCTTTATATAGAAAAACTGTGAGAAAGATCGCTTGGATTTTCAGATTTTATTATAATTTAAAGAATAAAGGGAAAACCTAACCCCTGATATTTCAGTTGATGAACCTGAGAAAGATGAAAATACACTTTGTAGATAGGTACAGAAAATATCATTTACAGACGTAAAAGACCCCACTATTCGTGCGTTGAGACAAATCGTAGACCGAAATGGAATTTTCAGATCCAAAACGAACGTCCTACAGTGTCTTCACTGTGTCGCATCGACGGCATGAAGGCATGAAGAAAATTACCGATATCCTATCATTTTACCTTCAAAACACCCTCTTGTTCAGAGACTAATTTTTGAGAAACATTTACACTCCAGCATGATGGTGTCAGCACTTTAAGAAGAAAACTTAGAGAAACATTTTGGATATTAAAATCTCGGAAAAGTATTCGAAATATTATCAGGAAATGTGTAAAATGTAAAAGATTTGTTACACAAAGTGTAGAAGTCGAGTCAGGATTTCCACTCGTAGACAGGATTAGAGAAGGGGCCGTTCTTGAAGTCGTTCGGTGTAGATCTAGCGGGTACCCTCTATCTCCGTGATTGATCTAAAGCTTGGATAGTCTTGTATACGTGTGCCATTTGTATAGCCATTCACCTGAAGCTAGTTACTTCTCCATCTACAGAAACTTTCATCCAATCTTTACGTAGATTCATTGCTAGAAGAGGTAGACCTTATGTGATATATTTCGACAACGGGACTAATTTCGTAGGGACTAACAGTGTTCTTAAGAAAGTGAAGTAGAATGCCATATTTTCAGCTGCTTCAATCCAAAGGATACGATTGAAATCCAACTCTCCGACTGCCTCCTGGTGGTGAGGTTGGTGGAAGAAGCTTGCGCTAATGTTGAAAGAAAATTTAAGAAGAGTATTAGGTCGACTTCCTTAAATTACGAAGCGTTATATACCATATTATAGGACTGAACAAGTGATTAATTCACGACCTATTACATATGTATCAGAGGGTAATAAAGATCCTTCACCACTGACCCCTGTGATGTTCCACCAAGAATTGCCATTATGGCTTTTAACCAATATAATCGAGCTTTTCCTTAGTAAGGACGGAAAAGTTAGACTAATGAGGGTCAAGACAAGAAATGAACTCTGCTTTGTCCAGTGCCCCGGCGTTTCCCGTTGGAGATCTCAACTCCCGAGTCTGCTGGTCTTCTGTTCCTCGGCAGAACACCTCGAGATAGAAACAACCCTACGACTAGTCAGGCTGATCAGGCTGCTTGTGTTCCAGAATCTGCCTCAAGACCACGCGTGATGACCAGAGCTGGACGAATTGTTGGGCCCCCTCATCGACTGGACTTGTGTGTATTGAGTTCCTCCGCACTGTCGGAACTCAATGGCGGAAGGAAATGTTACGTCTAAACTCTAGACTATCAGCGCCGTTACATCTAAACATAGAACAATTCAAAAAACATAAATAGAAGTCTGACTTGCATTGAACTAGAATCAAAACAAGAATTAGAAAGATTGTATAAAGGAAAGCGCGTAATATTCATGTAAACGTAATCTAATAATTTTATATAAATGTATATAATCTGTCTATATTTCACAGAAGTCCAAGTGTCATTATTTTGAATTTAGATATTTCAGATATCAGAATGGACAGATTCTCGGCCATCCGGAATATCGAAAAGGTAAGATCATTGTTCTTGCCTTTATAGAGAATTTAGAAGTATTAATTTTGCGTGAAAATCTACACCATCCAGTCATTGACTATATTTCTGTGAATGATATAAATACACTCGTGCTGGAAAAATAAGCAACAAACGCTAAAAGAAAAGGTACAAATGTAAAAAGGGAAATTGAAACATATAGTTTACATATGAGGTAGAGGTTGCATCGCCAAATGCAAATAGGCAACATTAGCATACAACGCAATACCGCAGCCAAACCACAAAGCCTTAAAGAGGGGCATGGCGACCTATGTTTCAGTTCGCTAGAGGTGATAGTTCCGTGTAATCCGAGATAGCTAAAACAGAAATCATAATTTTAAGACACCATTTGCACGATTGGATCCATTATTGGAATTAAAGAGTGTATATTGAATAGGTTTATCATTTTACAATCTTTTTGATTGCAATGATCAGAGGATGAGAACCTTTTAGGTAACGAGAAGATATTAGTACTAAATAAAACTATTTATGAAAATCCACCTACTTTCATTTTAACTAATCCTCTTTCACTTGTATAATAACCTCCTAATTTATCTAAGGAAGCTTTACATTGAGGACTAATATGTATCTTCAGCGCTGAAACATAAACAACACAGATTAGAATGAATATTATTTACATTAACTTTCTACAAAAGTTCAATGTAAGTTTTATTTTAACTAACCTTCTCCGTTGGATTCCATTCTAGATGCCGTGTTGACAGTATCTCCAAAAAGACAGTACCGGGGCATCGTCAGACCAACAACACCTGCACATACAGGACCTAAAAAGTTTTTAAATAATTTTGTTATCACTTTGCGATAACCTATTAAAATACGTGTTGCTTACTTAGTTCCTAGAATTTGCATTGCAAATTTGTTGTTTAAGTTTTCAGAATACTAATAGTATTAATCACATAACAGTATTTTCAATAGCAAGGAAAATTGCGAAATAGAAATATAAAGAAACAAGGATATTAAAAATTACAATACAGTTTTAAGTCATTCAAGACATTAACTCCAAAATTTTCTAGCTGGCTGTCTCGTCGTCACTATTAAGAGCCCCAATGATGCAGGCGGACTCAGTACATAAATTCAATTATATTACAAAGAACAGAATGTGAATAAACTTGAACAGCAGTACGATGGATGAGCTCTCCCAGATAATCATGAGCTATCAGTATTCGGGAACGTTCCTGTTGTGGCTTATCGGGAATATCCAAAAGATACTCGCATCTTTCTATCGTTTTGTCTTGATTCTGTTCGACAATTGTGCTTCATTTTTCGGTCAAAAATCTCTTTGATATACATGCTAATTAAAAGATACGATATCTCTCAATGTGTTGGCTGTAGCAATTACGAACCTTTCGCATAAGAAACTTATTTGCCCGGATCCATTCAAAATGCAACACTCAGGTATTCACGACACTGCAGAATATCAGCTGAACTACGAAACTCAAATGAGCTAATGACCTGGATGGTTGTTTGTTAATCGGATGGGAAAACTAAATTTTCAAAGCCAATAATTATTTCAGTGCAGTTGTAATCTCTGAAGAAGGGGACATAGTGTACCAGTAGGTACTCCGCAATTGCAGAGGCTCAATAACAGATTTAAGAGATAAGTAGTTTTAGTTCATATTCAAAATCTAAACTTCAGACTGAGGTACTATGCTGCAGTGATGTTATTTAGTTAATATGATAACAATAATGCAACACGAATGCGTCATTCATTATTATTCACAAATCAAATTAGTTTCAACGAGATTTTGATTGATATTAAGAATATTTTGAATGTTAAAATTTTGTTCAAAAAACATAGTAATATCATAGCATTGAATAAAATTTTGAATGCATTATAAATTTACTTAGAAACATATTGATATAAATTTTATTTAGAAAAATTACACTAAATCCTTGCCGTACGCGGGGGTTATATTAACACACTGCGCGTACGGCAAAACTGCGTTCCGGAAAATTAAGTTTCAATGGAATTAACGGATTAGATATAATTCAAATTTAGAAAGTATGTATAATTTACACAAGCCTAAATATTATTGCAATTAAAAGAAGAAAATGAAACAAATGGTTAAGTGAAACGACTTTTATTTATTCTTAATAAGTAATACATGATAGAATAATTTTTTAAATAGCTGGTGATTTTTACTTGAGAGAATGTCTGAAACAACTCATTCAACGTTGCGCGATAAGTTATTTACCTATGATAAACTGTCGTCTTTGTTCTTCATTTGGGACAATTTTTATTTCAAAATCAGGCTGTTTCTGAGCCTTTATTAAAAATTCGTTTAACATTTTGCACATTAAATGCTCTTTATCTTCCTCATTATTGCTGCTTTCACCGTCTGCTAGTGTTATAAGATCATCCATTTGCTATTTCGCGAGCGTCATTCTTGAATAATTCCTTGATTTCTCCTCCTTCCATATTTGAAAATCCTTCGCTGCCTCTTACTTTTGTAGATTGTAAGATTTGCTCAAATGCATTTCAATCAATGTAAATCCTTTAAAATTGCTGGCAACTTCTGGCCAGCGCTGATGCCAGTAGGCATTCATTTTAGATGAATTTATTCGTTCCCATGCGATTTAATTATTTCTGTGCAGTGTCTTATGTTGGATGGCTTGCAACTTGCCTTAATATGCATGCTTTTCTTCGATTAGTGCTGTTTTCGCATAGATGTGAAAATACCTGACATTATAGGATTTGAATGTTTTTATGATACCTTGATCCATTAGTTGGATTAAGGAAGTGGTATTCGGTGAAAGGAATAAAAGCTCTACTTTAGGGTGCAATGTTGTGTGAAATGTACCGTGTCCTGGCGCCTTATCGAGAATTAAGAGAATTTAAAATCTCAGGTTTTGCTGTTCTAAGTTTCTGTAATGATTGAATTTTCTAAGCAGTCTTTAAAAAGAGCTGTTGCAACGTGACAGACGCTCTTCAGCGTTCCGCCTATAATTCAAATTCTTCAGTTGGACAGATTACATGGAGACAATTAAAATAATACGTGTATGCAAAATTGCGTTCCGCATGTCCGCCTTGAGCAAGGGTTTACTGTACAGTCAAACATTTAAGAGTTAATTATGATCATAAAAGGTCTAATTATTTTGCTGAGTCTTTTAATACATATTATATGCCATGAAGACAAATATTTCGTATTGCAGGAAACGATATTTTATTTTGACGCATGAAAAATTAATGATCTAGTTGTTTTAAATGAATATCATGACATTAATTTAGCTGGATTTATAATATAATTTTAAAAAAAATATTTTTGGTTTAAAAAAATCCAACGATATTACGCTTTATCGAGATATTTTTTTAATCTAACGAATAAAATAAACTTAATTCCCTAATGAATTTAATTTTAATCCAAGCACTTTAAACTGAAGCATTTTCTTAGTCTCTGCTTTAATGAGCTACCTTAAACACGTGGGCTTTATAAAAATTGCATTTGTAATACATCTACGAATTTCGAATAAAATGATTTTTCGAAGAATTATTTATACTTTAGATCGAAGAACTCAGCATCTAAAATAATTAACTGAAAGGAAATCTAAATGCCAATTTAGAAAATAAGATATAATATTTTTTCCAAACTAATTACAAACATAACAAAGAATGGAAGTGATTTTTTTATCAAAGATACTGTGAGACATGAAGCACTAAAAGGTAGAAAATCAAATTACCCAAAAGTACAGTGATAAATGAAATCATTCTGAAAGGGCCATAGTACCATCGTTAGGTTTAAAGGAATAAAAAGAAAGAAAATGATTAGACACGTGAGCGTTAGAATTAATGTACACAGGTTAGAACAACTGGAGTTAAAGTACTATAGCTCAAATTTCAAACAATGAAAGACATATAAAATATCATATTAATTAATATCTAAGTACAGCAACAGTCTTTAAAATGCCAGTGCTTGTCCATCTCAGACTATGGCGTGAGACGAAGAGTTTTGGGGTTTTAAATCAACTAAAGAACTGACCCACTTAATGAAAATAAAACCTTTTGCCAAACCACTATCAGACGACATCTGTTGAAAATAATATATTTACAGCTAGTGACATAATGTAAAATATAGGAAGTTATAAGTGTGCGTATAGCATTGAAAGTTACATAATGCTTGAAACGAGGACAGTAAATTGCTACATTAACGCGTGTTACATAAAATAGCATAACACACTTACATACGGAGGCAAGTGCAAGAGATATCTATCGCTTAAATATCCATAAGAATACGTATGCCAGATAAAGGCAGTATACAAGGGCAGTAAATACTTGGTCATACATTGTAAGTGCATTAATTCAGTTATAACAGTGCAGGACAATACGCACTGTAATACGCTAATTTGAAATATATGCAATATATTAAAAATACATTACAGAACACATACAACTTTGTAGTGGGTCTGTTGTAACTGTTCATCATGCAGACCTTTTAAGACTAATAGCGAGTTATCGCTACGATTTTAAAAACTCATAAAATACTATAGAATGTTAAAATAACCTTTTTTTTATATTTAGTCCTAAATTTAATAGAATAGGCACAGCTCGCGCTCCACCACTTTTGGGTATTTAAAGTGTTTTGGGCTTCTCTTTTTTTTAACACAAAAAAAAAAAAAAGTTACATGCGAACGCGGATAACGTAATCTAAGACTACACATAAAACATATAAATTGAACTGCCTCAGAATTTTACCAGCGCATATTTTAAAACATCGGCTAGCGAAAAGTTAAGACCGATATATAACTTTAAAAGCAGTGCTGGCCAGAAAAGACGCAGTTGTCAGAAGCATAAATCTAAACATCCAAAACCGTCAATATAAAATCACACAAATCTGAGCTGCGTTCTGATGAGCATATGGAAAGGAGAATTTATACTAGTTGTTTTAAAAATAACAACAGATTAATTAACATAAAATACATTACAACACTTTGATATCATAAACTGTATTGTGTAATGCATATTTAACTTATTTTTATGAGGGACAGAGATTCACGTTCCCGTTAACATTTTATGAGTCTAACGGGAAAAACAAAAGTTTTAAAACATTGGAATCCCTTTAAACCAACTCAAACCAATTAAGGATATTTATCTCATTTGTTAAACTTTATGAAGTGTTATATTGGCAACCAAAATACGTAGTTATATTCACACTCACTAAAAGCGCTGATCGTCTTATAGAAAGGTGACATGTTTAAGCATCGAACACGCCGCCCAGATCGTTCGTATAATACTAGTTGGGGGCACAAAGCAAGTTTAATTTAAGCTACCTGTCGCACTTGTAGTTGGAATTTAACACTGTGAAGGTCATTTTGTCACCTTTTTACCTAGTTATCAAAATAAAGAATTTAAAATTGAGAAAAATGTTACATGACAATATTCAGTATTCTCGGAATGCAAATTTTCATTTTTCTTATAGTAGTGTTTGTGTTTATTATGTTTTTATATTGTTACTGCTCTATATGGCAACAGTTGTATATAAATGTTTTCTTAATTGTACTTATTCAAATATTATCATAATTAAACACCTTACATTTTTAAATTGCGATTTATTTTGAGCGCTGTATTTTATAAAATTCAGTTCATGAAAATGTTTATCCAGAATTAAGATAAGCTATTTTAAATTAATAAATGTTTGCTAACTAACATGTGAGCAGAATTCTTAATATTTATGAAAAATCACTTCTAAATACATTCAGTTTACTAATGCAAAGTTTCCTTCATCTACAGTAAAGAAAACTATAAAAGCTATAAGATTACAGAAACTTGTAGCAAATTAAGTTCATATAAAACTGTATTTAATAATAGAACTACTTTTTAACTTCTGATAATAATAACTATCAATTACTAATTACCTGTGTGCATGCCTATTCTAAGCTTCAGTGTCTGATTTGGTTTATGTTGAATCTTGAATGTTCGAATAGAATCTAAGAGTTCTAGTGCCATGAAGGCGATTTCTCCAGCATGGTTATCTCCATTCCTGATAGGTAATCCACTCACTACCATGTAAGCGTCGCCAATTGTTTCCACTTTGTAGACATCATAATGGCTGATGATATCATCAAACACTGTGTACAGATCGTTAAGGAAAGTCACAACCTAAGGAAGATAAAGTTTTATTACAGCAAAAACAATACCAAAAACAAAAAACTGAGTTTTTAGCGAAGTAACTGAGACATCGTTTTTACCCTAAGAAAAATAAATCCTTAGACATGGACATAATCTCTGCTTAACGATACTATACTCTACACATAAACTTAAACGACCAAACTGTAATTCAGCTTTAGCAGGAAACAGCAGATATCGGAACTAAAGCAATAAACATCGATAACTAGATAAGGAACAAATTATTAGTCAAAGAATTATACAAAATATATATTAAGATCAACAGTTTCCGTAGAAAACGCTTCTGTCAAAGCATTACTCGTTTGATTATTCATACACATGAAATACAACACATTTCCTTTCATGTACATAAAAATGTTTCACTGATTAACTTCTAAATAATAAAACCATTACTCCAATTTTCTGTAAAATGGATTCACTATAAACTTTGATTTTCTTATTGCAATTTCAAATTTTGCAGCCGCAAAGTAATTTTAGAGCAGTTCTTATTTTTCATTACTATGCGTTTAAAAATAACTTTGCCTTACATTTTTATGCATATTTTTATGATCTTTAAACACCTAAACAAAATCAAAACGCAAAATCCGAATGTATCGATACTGATATACAGAATAGTCGTCATTTGTGATATCAGGACAAGAAGCACATCAGTTTTAAATCTAAATTTCACTCAAATTCAAGGATAGACTGAAGTTAATTTTACAGAAACTCTTAAGCATTTCGAATACGACTGACTCAGATCTGTCTTTTCCAAAGAGGAAACAAGCTTCTCATTTTTATAATGTTTGCTCTTTAAGAAAAGAAACACGTTTCAGTAGTTTTGAAATGCACTGAGCCTCCCATTAAACCAATATTCAATTTAAGATTAAATAGCAAGTCAGAACGATAAAAGTCAGAAAAAAAAGCATAAAGTTTAAAACCTGATTATTAAAACCTCTGCGGCATAGATCTGCACGTTTTAGATGAGTATAGTAATAACTTAAAAAATACTAGAAGGGCACAGAGCTTAAATTATTTAAAAGATGAAACACTATACGTAAAGCAATGACATCTGTGTATATGTCACTGGGGCTTTACATAGATACAACAAGTAAAACAGATCTCTTATGCCTTTAAAATTTAATAGCAACATTCTTTACGAATGTTTACTTCAGACAGACCTTACAAATTCTATTTCTGCTCACTTATATTATTTTATTTTTCTTATAGCAAAATACGTGAGGGCTGTGTGGTACAGGGAAGAAATGCCTTAGCAGAGAATATTTTAAGGAAGATTAGCTTGTATTCGCGTTGCACAAGAAAAACAGATGAGAACTCCCATGCAGACAGCTGTTCGCTCTGTTCCGAACCCAAGCAGAATTACTACTAATGTCATCCTCTTGTCCTCTGATCAGCCTACTGCTCGCTGGAGAGAAGCTTAAGCGTGAGTTACAGTTAAAAATTTAAGAAAAACTGTTCTTTTACGCCCATCAGTGGCCTACTGCATATCTTCCCAGTGAATAAATACTGGTAGCTTCAGTCAGATTCAAAAGATTTAAATCCATAATGCACAGATATCTTTTTTCAGAGTTATAAAGGAAGGGTTAGGGCATTACTTTGAGCGACGTGTCGCCGACGCGATCTTTGTATGTAGGTAGGAAGTCCTTTCTTACCTCCATGGATCTTCGTAGGGGGGTAACAGAAAGTAGTTTTACGTCACTAAAATGTTGCATCTACTCTAACTTCGCCAGTTTAAACTAGCAATATGTGCACCCTAAATTAATTTTAGTCACATTTTTTTTTCTAGTAAAGCAGTGTCAAAGTCGAATGCGGTCTTCGAAGTAATTTTATGCTTCCTGCGAAAATATTTCCTGTCAATTAATTAACCTTATTATGACAAGAATTTGAAGAAAAAGTTTAAGCTTTTTAATGGTTTGGAGTCCAGTTTTACGTTATATTCATTACGAAAAATAAACGTAACTCTTCGGAAAATCTAGAAATAAAGCTAATCAACTTACACTGTGATATAAATCTTGTTCAAAGATTCTAAGATACAAATTTGATGAAATTGTATTAGTACTTGTCAAAAGATAAATATCTTTACGTTACGAATTTTTGCAATAAGAATATTCGCTTTGTAAATGAGTAAATTTTTTAGAATAGTTTTCTTTCGTACTTGAGGGCCCACCAGCGGCCGAGCGGTAAAGTCGCTGAACACTGGTAGTTCGGTCCGAGGTTCGACTCCCGCGAACGGGCATGGCTGCATGGGCGTTTTCGTGGTTTTCCCCATGTGTAACGTGTATACGAGCCAGTTTCCCGTAGAAAGTCCTCCACGAAGGCATCCCTCCCCTTAGGCAGATAGCCCTCGAGGCTTTGCCATAATCACACACACACACACACACTTTCGTACTTGAAAATTCTACGAAAACGTCTACGGAAGTCTACGAAAAGAACCAGGCTGCCGATGAATATCTACAATTTGTCATGATACTTTTCAGTAATTTCTCTTTAAGATTACAAACTTCATGAACATCGAAAAGTCTTGAAATACTTTCACATATTTCCTTTTGGTTTAAATGAAAAGTAAGTTTCCTTAGTGGTTCAGTATTGTGACCAACAGATACCAACTTTTAGATTTCAGGCAAAATATAAGTATACAATTGATATTTTTCTTTGCTTATTCTTATTCGTATGTTTTTATAAATATATAGCAAAATGTTTTTAATTTAATTAATATTTTTTTTTTCATCAGCTACAAACAAATTGTGCATTGGCCGTGTACAAATGTAAGTTTGGGACCACTGTTCTAAAATATCGTTTATGTAATATATGTCTTCTTGCGTTTTAGCAATGTGCCATAAAGTTCGTCGAAATGAGGAAGATAGGGATAAGTGTATTTCATATATTAAAAAAGGACAGTTTGCTTTTGGTGAAAAAAATGGATGCTTGTGTTGAAGACAGGATTCTATTGATATGAAAAATGCAATAATTTGCAGCGAATATGTTCTATGCAGTTATTATGAAGATGATATGAAAAATCGCTTGCTTGGATTGCCGCAAAAGAAATTGTTAAAAAACCAATACTGTTCCAAGAAAAAAAAAAATAATGGAAATTTTAATATAAAAACCCAAGCAGCGCAATAATATTATAAAAAATTAAATATTATAATTAATTGATAATAATAATTATAAAAAATTAAATATAAATAATTTTTTTATAAATTAATTAATTTTTATAATATTATATGAAGTTTTAATATTTATTTTATAATATTATAATTTATTAAATAATGAAAAACTACACGAATTTCAGTTTGAAAAAATTCATTTTGAGGCCGCTTACGTAAATGATGATAGGAATAATAAATCAGATACGAATGATTTTAAAACAGTACTCACAAATGGCAATGTAAATATTGCTGAATACCCTAACTTTAAAAATAAACCAGAATGCATTGGTTATTTGTAAAAAGCAAAGCTAATTCATCATTTTAGGTAATTTATAATCGTATAAACGTCAAAGTAATTTTGCATAAGAAAGATCTTCCTTCTGTGCTCGTCTTTTGAAAGATTAAGTAATTCTCTTTAGATACCGTGAGCAAAGTTACTTTATCAAACTTATGTTAACGATCTTGTATTTTTTTAAATTTAATGTGTGTGTATAAATGTGAGTATAATTTGGACAATTATTTTTAAAATATCTGATATTATATCAAATAGGAAAAGAAAGACGCAAATGTAAAATTTACAATTTGGTCAAAAAAGCAATCTTAGATTAGATTAAATTTTGAATAAAACTATCGATTTTAAGAGCAGTCAAACATGAGTTCCTGTTCTTTAGCTGCAGAAAAAAAAATTGACATATATACTCAAAACGACATCAAACTAAGTTTTTTTTCCTCTTTTTTGCCTGTCTTTAAACAGTTGTTATTATAGTAATCTTAGAAAGAGTAACAGAATTCTCTCACTTAGTATGCTCATGAAGAAAATGTAATGAATGTCACATTTTTTTTTCCTTCATGATTTAATAATAAATGTACAGGAAAGAAAACCTGTATCTCTTGCTTGACCCACGTGTAACGGGAATACAAACAAGCCAGTTTCTCTTAAAACGTCCTTTACGAAAAAATCTATGCCTTTAAATTGATACTGGTGATATACTTAATTACATTTATTATTATAGATTTTGACTTGCTTTGGTAACATAAACTAGTTTCACATTTTTAACAGACGTAAAGCGAATTATCATTGTGTCTGAAATTAACTAAAAAGTCTAGGAAAGGTTTTAAAATAACCTTCTTATTTTAAAATAAACGCACTTCTTGTGCTAAGAGTGTTAACACTCCCCCCCCCCGAAAAAAAAGGAAAGCAGAAATTACAATAAAGGCTGAAATTATAAATAACTGGTTGGTTACTTTCAAATAATACCCCTACAGTGTACTCAATTCAATTCAGTACTAATATCTTAGTTTAATATGAATTAAAAATTTCTCTCCTTTATTTTTAAAATTTTCTCCTTGTATATTAAATTCTATTAAAATATTATAGAATATAAAATAATTCATAAAAATAGCACGTTTCCTTTTTAAAAAAAAATAAAAAACTATGCATAAAATGTACGTTTCTATGTGTCCGTTTTTAAAAAGCTGCTAACTGATTTTGATCAGTACTCATCTGAAAAATGTGCTGCAGTTTATTCCGTGCACTGTATGCTTATAAGGTTATTCTCCCGCTTTCCTAGCGTGCCTTCGAGGTGTAGTAGTTCTCGACGCTGGGCCGGTATTCCAGAGGTCCGTGGTTCGATTCCCGGCGAAGAAGGTTGCTCATTTTTCATCATGCCTGCTTCCAAAATACCTAATGTCTCTACAATGGCGCCCGAACTAAAAGGGTGTTGGATGAGGATTCTCCACACCTAGTATTTGGCGACTAGGTCCCCTAAAACCCTAGTCGACCTTTAAAAAGGAGAGTATATAAGGTTATTCTCCCGCTTTCTTAGCGTATCTTCATGGTCTAGTGGTTCTGCACGCTGGGCCGGTATTCCAGTGTCCGTGGTTCGATTCCCGACGAAGGCGGTTGTTTATTTTTCATCTTGACTGCTTCCAAAAATACTTATGTCTCTACATCCTTTAAGCACGCAACTTGAAACCCCCTCAATTCCGAATGGTAAATATCACTGAACATTAACAGTTGTAATTTCGTACAGTTTCTGATTGCAGAATGAGTCAACCGAATGAGCAGTTTTGTTGCTTCCTCATTTTTATAACAGATATCAGCCAGATTCTCAGAAAGAAATGCAGTAAAAATCTCTATAGTATTTTACCCTGAATAAAAAATCTGTAAACCAACAAAATAAGATCATGATATTATTAAGTCTAATAAATAGGTCACCATGTATATCTATTCAATCAAATGAGAAAAGTCAAAAATATTATGAAGAAACTGATAAGTAGTATCGAAAAAAAATTTCTATGACAGAGAAATGTAACAAAAAGTGTATAAAAATATTCAGAAATTCTAAAAATACATAATTTATTCTTAGAATTTAATTTTCACCCCAACTACTACACACCAGTGCTGTAAATACAGAAAGTATAAGATATTGTTATGGTTTTTGTATTTAGTTTGCTATTTTAGTATAACTCTAATTAAATTGTTCATTTCTCTGCGCAATGCTGTGCAGATAAATAGATATCTCGTAATTGTACTCTTTTGCTATCCAGAAAAATCGAGGAAATACCAGAATGTTCTCGTGCATGATTAAAAAGCTTATAAAAGCTGGAGGAAAATATCTCAATTCAGTAGTTTACTTAGTGCTGTTATTAACTGTAGCGAATTCGCAGTGAGATCGGATCAGCTTTCTCTGTGTTTTGAATTGAGTTCTTATTGAAACGTTTTGGTAGTTTAAAATATAACTACTGCGAGATATTGTGATATTGTACGAATATCTCTTAGGAAATTTTAGCATTTTGTTTTGTTTCTTGAGATAAGAATAAATTTTATTAACTTTTTATCGGCTTGTGCATTCAATCCATTACGAACCCGTAAGCACGCAGCAATATTATGCCACCTCACGTTCCCCAATGACCGAACAATAACACATATTCATCATAGCTAAAGAAAATACAACTCTAACTAGATTAGACAACATGAAGGTGGGTATAATAGAGGAAAGCATAATCCAGTTAGTTTCGATTTGAGGTACCTGGATAAAGACAGCAGGTTACTAATTGGATGTGGATCTTTCTTTCAGCGACAAAGTTAAATATATCAATGATTGTCAATCACTTGTAGTTGTGGGGCAGTTGTTTGAGGTCGATGTTATTTAAACCTAATTTTGGATTTTATAATTCTAATTTCTAGTTTTTAATTTGAATGAACACTGGAAGGAAAGAGATTCATGGGATCATTTACATAGAGCACATAAGTTTCAATGCGTCAGTTGCTGACAATTAAAACTAACTTTCTAATATTTCAAATATAATGTTTTCTATTATATTTAAATGTATTTTATGAACACAAAGCAGAAACACTTTTATTTTGATTCGGATAAATGGGAAACAATTTAACAAATTTTTAACTAAATTTATATAACAATTTAAAGAATCTAAATCTACGGAATGTCGAACTTTCCTTGTAGTGTTCGTTTCAAAAAACAATTAAGCTGAACTAAATAAGCTGCAGTTCAGACTGAATCTTCTTTTAAATGGATTGATATTATTCTTAAATGACAGTTAGTTCCATGTATGCTAACATTATCTTTCATGCATAAACTGTTCCAATTCTGCTCCAGTTCATGCATAAATTTCTCCAGTTCTTCTGTCGGTTACGGTTTTGACTTTTTTCGAAGACAGACCGCAGTGGCTCGATAATATTTAGTCTGGTGACCCTAGTACTACTTCAAGTTACTCACAATAAAACTGCAAAAAGTACTAAAGACTTAATTAATCTTGATATTACAAACGACCTACAATCTATGAAATTTAAATATTTTGTTGTAGTAAGATATGAGATTATTAAAACTGCAACGCTTTCGTCTGTGTTCGAGGAACTATCGTAGAGCATCAGATTAAAACGCTGATCATGAGTTTATTAACAATAGTTTGTGTACCTGGTACTAGTGGTAGTATTATTAACAGCACTCGTTATTCGAAATTGGTTTATACAGCCGAGCGGTTTGGTTCTCCAGTCCTTTTAAATTTTTATAATAAGTTGTACTATTAGCTCTTAAAGGTATAAGCTACAAGATTTCGAGATAGAAAAGGTAGTGCTAATAAATCTAGGCAGAGTTCTTTAACTAATCATGTATTGGATGAAATTATCAAAAAAGGTTAAACAAATGAATAATTGCAAAATACTGTATGCTCATTGGCATTGGATAATCAAGAGTTTATAAGTAGGTAGCAAAAGGGGCAGATCTTTTTTAAGGTAGTTGGAAGTTAGTTGCATAGCAGCATTCAAGAATGTAATTTCTCCTGTTTTAATGTTTTTTGCTTTGGCTTATTATCATATTAGGCTGTCCCAAAACATTGTATCTCAACACCTGGACTGCATTATGTTGCCGAAGATAAGCAAACAATATCAACGAATATATAAAGGGAAAATGGTGATTTAAAAGTTACAGGACGTTGATGCTGGTAGCAACAGCTGGATGCGAAAGCAGTTTGCCTCCACATTATCTTGTTAATTACTGTCCCGTAATAAACGTAACTTCGTGAATTCCAGCGGCCTATTTAGGACGTTGTTGAACGAATCAACAAACTTTGCCGAAGCAGATAGCTAGCCATCGCACCGCCTTGTCTTTCATACTCAACATCTCGTAACTCGTGAAATGATGTATTTCTTGTATGTTCATACAATATCCATTGTTTAATTTCGACCACAGCATGTACTGCTTGAATTTGGCGACAATATTTTAAGGTACTCTGTATATTAAACCTGGCTTCGGATACCCTTGTCACTGATGTTCCACAGCTGCCAGCGTTGGCTGACTTTATTCTTGGGCCATCATGAATGTGCGGATCAGTGATAAAGCTGCAGGTCACGAATATGTTTATTGGTGGATAAAATCTCGTTTATATGATTATGACAAAACACGCGGGAGCAATGCTAAAGGGGGGATGCCTTCGTGGAATATTGTTTGAGGAAACCTATCTGGTATCCGTATTATACATGCAAAAACGCCATGCAGGCAGCCCTTTCGACTAAAATCGAACCCAAGTCAAAATACCAATGTTCAGCGACCTTAGTATTGGGCCGCTGGTGGACTTTCATACACAGAAATTTCCCTTAGTAGCTGAATTCTATTTTGCGCTGCTTGGGTTTGAACAGTGGCTAGGTTTTAAAAATTACCTGATTTAACAGATACAACTTGTATTTTTTGTTTTAAATGCATGCTTGTTTACTTGGAAGACACTGGCGTCAGTTGATATGAGATTGGGGCAGATACAGAAATTACTTATGATATCTGGTGTTAACAAAAATCAACTGCAATATTTTTTAGAATCTCTCAGTTTTGGAAAAGGAAAACATTTCGGAATGAAAATAAAATTACGTCAGTTCTTTAATAGAGAGCACAATATTTTCGATTTTGAATGAGAATGCTTTAAAGTGTTAATCATACTTCATGCTTCTTACATCGTGTGCACTACCTATAAACGATCTAGAAGACAATAATTTGATTAAAAGTTTTTAAAGTTTATATAGGAAGGTATAAAAAAAGATTCAATTTGTTTTCTATTATATGCCGCCACTCCGTAGACATCGAAATCAAACCTTAAAAATGCGTGATGAATATTTAGGGTAGTTCGCAAGCGTTAGCAACGAGAACTGGCGTTATATTTGAAGTATTTTTTAACATTGTTCCTGACAAAGCAGTAATATTTTGATCCTTTATACTGTAGTAAATTTTAAAGTAATGCAGTTATATAGTATCCTTGTCACTCGAATAAAAGAACAACAAGCACTCCTTTTTTTAAAAATTTCCGTTAGTATAAGCTTTAGTTGTCATAAAAGGATATTTCAACCGATAAAAAGAATCTTTCGAAAAATGCAGGAAAATCTCTTTGAAGAAAAAATATAAACTTTACTCCTACCATAATGAAAGATTAAATACCAAATTCTTCTTTTGTCCTTCATAACGTTTCTTCTGTTAAAATGTTTATTTTAAATGTCAGAGATGTCTAAAATTATATAGTGAATTCTCGCTAGAAGTTCTAAAAAATAAATTTTAGAGAGTCAGTTCCTACTGCAATAATGGGATATTTCTTAAAAAACAAGAGCTGAAGCTGCAGAGCGGGGTTCTTTCCTGAAGGCGCAATTAATCCAAAGTTGTCCATAACAACAAAGTGACGGAGACCAGGGGCACCCTGGCGTCTACCAGAGGTAAGCAGGGTCATGCCCCTCGTCCTCCACTATCCAACGCTTATCAAAGAATTTAAGGAGTTGGGTGAGAAACATGGCCTTACAGGGCCTAGGTGGCTGTACAATGGCTACAGATTTGGGAACAAAGGGTGCAAGAAACACATTGCAATGCAAGTAAATATAACAGAGAACATAAAGCATAAAAGTAATACACTAAATAAATAGTGCAATATAAAGTACCTAAATAAACATTACATAAAAAATAAATAAGTAGTGGAAAGAAAAAGAGACAGCTCAGCGAGAGAAAAACTTATATGACCTGGGAGATGTCCTGTCCCAGGCCATAATCTTGATAATAAGTTGACATATCTTATGCACAGTCACATGATTTTGTGTCATAAAGCGTCTGTGAGTGGCCACATCGCTGAAGCACTGTGAGTGGCGTTGGCACTGTGAGACGTAGTGGTCTGGGAAGCCTTCTGCTCAGTAGACGCAGGTTGCAGTTTAGGAAATGCCAAAGCTATGGAAATAAACAGAAAACGTGATCCGTGACAAAGTTGGTGATTTGTGGGAAGGACACGTGTCTTTGAAGGTTAACTTTTGCGAAGAAATCGTATGTACACTGCTCAAAAAAAAAAAAAAAAAAAAAAAAAGGGACAGTGCTATATCTCCCGTTCTAATGAGCCGACTGACAAAATTCAAACTGCGTTTTTCATGTCTCGAAAGCGCGACTTAGGATATATATTAGATTTATATATAGCACTATTCTAACATAGGTATTTTGACACAAAATCGGACTTTTTCTGAAATAACATACCAATTTTTTTCCATATTTCGATTCTACGACTCAAATTATGCCAGAATACCAAGTTTTGTAAAAATCGTACGACTAGTTTTTAAAATATTAGTTCTCAAAATTTTAGCTCCTCAATGTTAATTGAATTTGGCAAAAAATTATTAATATCTCTTTTTTATTAAACTTTTTTGATTTTTTCTCTCACATTTCGAAATTTAGGTTCATTCCAAATAAAATTTACCCATTTTTTGTGTTTTAATTTTAATTTAAAATTTCTATTTTTAAATAATTTTTATAAATTTTTCGAAAAAAATTTTGAATTATAACCTATAAAATTTTTACCATCATCATAAAGTAGGTGTATTTTTAAGCATATCTGCAAAAAATTAGAATTTTTTATTCAAAATTTTCTAAGATATACACGAATTTACATATTTTCGCGTTTTGAAATTTGGCATCTTTTTTTTGAGCGATAATAACGCCAAATGTGGTTTATGGATTTTGGTTAAACTGAATTGCCACAGCTATTTTTAACCTTAAATTTCAAGTAAAATTGTACGGATAATTAATTATATGAAATTTTTCCCTCAATAAGGCGTAATAAATATTTATTAATACTATATGAAAAGCTATTTTTTAAATTATAGATGATATTATTCAAATTTTTAACAATTTTTTTTTAATTTCTCTCTTTCTTCCTTTTTTTAAAAAAAATAAGAGTGCATTTTTCTAAGAGATCTTAGAAATCTTTTCGTTTTACCTTCGGCGTTTTATCGTCTGCTACTTTACTTCGTTTAAATCGAATTGTCTAAAACTGAGAATTTTCGTTTAATGTTTATTTGAATTTTATGAAAATATTTTATGACATTAACTGCATAATTTATTTCTAAACAAACTGTTGCTTTTGAAGTGGCTGAAAGAGCGGCAGATACTATCATCCATATTTTTAAAGACAGTATATTTTTATAGAAACATAAGATTTAGAATAATCATTTATATAAGTCAAATTATGATATAAACATACAATCCTCTAGAGACTGAATTAGTGGAAGTTCAATGGTTATGTAGAAATGATATGCAGCTACTTAATGGCTGGATAAGTCAGCAACTTCCGTGGACAAGTAAGAATAATTATATAAACGACACACAACATTCTGGATTCAATTAACAACGAGGATACGATGTTTATTAAATGAATTTAAGAAGTTTAAAACATAAAAAATCAACTCATTTTTTATCCTAAAATGTATTTTTGTGCGTAGCGTATTTTCATTATACCCTTAAAATTCTAATTTAGAATGTAATTGTCAAGAACTGAATCCTAATCATCAGTAATATAATAAGTAATTATTACGGTTATTAATAAATCCTTCTTATAAAGTAATTGCAAATATTTAAAAAAAACTTTCTGTCTGAATGCAAATATTTTTCTATGCAAAATTTTAAATTTTATATTAATCAAGATTGCACACGATATTATTTATTTGCACTTCCAATTTTTACCGTCAGCTCTAGTAGAATTTACAAATCAATTTTATTTAATTACAGATTGGATTGGATTATTCAATTATTGCAAAGCGGTGTGGTGTGGTGGTGTATTTAATTACGGCAAAGCACACTAGGGTTATCTGCCTAAGGGGGATGCCTTCGTGGAGGACTTCCTAAGGTAAACTGGCTCGTATACACGTTACACATGGGGAAAACCACGAAAACGCCCATGCAGCCAGCCCGTTCGCGGGATTCGAACCTCAGACAGAACTACCAGTGCTCAGCGTCTTTACCGCTCGGCCGCTGGTGGGCTATTTAATTAAGGAATGACCATCTAAATTTAGAAACAGCGTACCGTAACAGCAATTCAATTATTGGCGCCGTATCTTTCATGTTACTCACGATTGGCAAGCTACATGATTTTTAATGAGTATTCGGGTTTTGCTAGTAACTTCATTTGGAAATCGCGCTTAAACTAGGTTAGTTATTTGAACATAGAAAGAACATGGGAGCTATTTGGTTAAGATGCTTTCATAGAGAACCTTTGTAAAGAGAACCTAAAAAACTACGAAAACCAACCATGCAAGCCTGGGTTAGACTTCGCAACAAACAATTAGTATTTAACAATCTTCAAATGCTAGGCAACTGGTGAGGCTCCAATTAAATCTCCAATTTAATTTGTAAGTATTTAAAATATTGTTGTATACTTAGACACAAAAAGCAGAATTTAAGTTTTGTTAACTCGTTAGTAAACTACCAAGCCGTAGTGCAAATGAATATTCAATTTCTTTTGCAATAATTGTATTCACTTAATATTCTTGGAATATGAGCTAAAGAAGGAACGTTCTCGGAAGATTAAAGAAGTGTTAAAATCCAGTGATATAAGGTTTGTCTTACAAGCTCAGGATCAAAACGATTCTGCAATTGCCCCAGTAGATGACTTGTAAATGGCTGTGAATTAAGCAGATGACTTTTAATCTTACGTTTTCAGTCAGACAACGTATTCCAAATGTTTTGTATTGCATGATAATGCATCTTTTCATTATTCAATAACCAGTCGGAGAACCTCTTGTGTTCCGAAAATAAGTATGTGTACTCAATCGTCCTGCATGTTTTTCAAATTTGTCTTCTTGTGATTTTTTTTCTTTCCCAAAAACTAAAGTTGCCTCTCAAAGGAAAGTTTTTTGATATTGAAGAGACAAAAAGAAGTATGACATCTACTTTTAGAAGCATGTCAAAAACAGATCTCTACAAGCCTTCTCTTCCATTACATGTTGTGCAGTCAGACAAAACGTTGCATCAGCGTAAATTCTATAATCTATTTTTATTACACTCTGATTACTTTATTAACAGGGGCCCACCAGCGGCCGAGCGGTAAAGTCGCTGAACACTGGTAGTTCGGTCCGAGGTTCGAATCCCGCGAACGGGCTGGCTGCATGGGCGTTTTCGTGGTTTTCCCCATGTGTAACGTGTATACGAGCCAGTTTCCCTTAGAAAGTCCTCCACGAAAGGCATCCCTCCCTTTAGGCAGATAGCCCTCGTGTGCTTTGCCATAATTAAATACACCAACACCATACTTTATTAACATACAGTGAATATATAGTAAATCTTTTACTTCAGCTTAAGTAATTCGGAATTTTTGACGGAATTGTTGTCGGAACTAGGACTTAGAAGATAAGTCAAATTAAATATTTCGATAACCCAATAAATTCAAGGTCAAATTTCAATATTTTATTTTCGAAAGTTTCGTTTATGGTGATAATCTAAACAATTTGGCAGAAATGAAAAATGTGATACACTGACATCTCCGTAACATTCCTCCTGATATGCTAAGAGCTGCTGTTGAGAATGCAGTAACAGGATTTAACTTGCTTTCGGAAAATGCTGGACGCTACATAATATGCTTCGTAGCACGTTTCGCAAAATATTAAACACATTTTAAACAGATGTTTTCGTGTCTTATTTCATTTAACAATATTGTATACAGTGCAATTTCTCCTGGTGGTGGGTTTTTGAACTCTTTTTTTTCCCGCGGAAAAAAATTCCCATAACCTCCTTTACACGCTTCCCAAGTTTGATAACATTTGGTCCGGTAGTTTTCCTTTTATGACCATTTCAAATTGGAACTTTAATTATAACAACCATGCAAATTAAACTTTAAAAGTTTGACAAGTTGGTTCAAGTCCCAGCTTTAAAAATATATGTATATAAATATAATCTTTTACATTAACCATCTTAGAAAGAATGTTTTAGGAAGCTAGTCTTTATCTCGCGTTATAGATTGTATAAAAAAACATGATCTTTAATAGGATTTAGATTGTTTCAGCTGATATAAGAATCGGGTCACTCGGTGGTTCAGAATAAACCCTGCTGGACTGTTTTATTTCTTTGTCATTTAGCAAAAATATTTTAATTAAAATATTTGTTCTTTGGACTTCGCTTTAAACTTAATTTAAAATGACTAGAAAATGAAAAGCTGTTTTCAGCTGAATCGCAATTCATGTAATTGATATTTTAAAAAACTGAAAGGAATGCAAAATTTATGGAAGTCTAGCAATCGAAAAATCTTAATTTTCTTGTGTGAGCACTGAAAATAACTGTAGAAGAAAAGAAGAAAATTAGGGAGAAAAGTAAGCAAACATTTGCAGGGAAATTTGGCTGTCAGACATACCAAGATGCTTCAAAAAGTTGGACGCTTTTGAATATACTTTCAGGATACTTCAAAGAACTTAGGCGTTCAAAGAGAAAACACTTGAACGTGTACACCAGCAAATACCATCAATTGAGCTTGTGTTAGCAGAAAAGACAAAAACGATATCATTGCAGATTAAAATGAAGAGCGACTGGTTTTAGTCTATATGGTTGTATAAATTTAAACTCGTTATAGAACATCATATCGTATCATAAATAAGAATCCCATAATTTTCTCAGTCGAATTATTTGAAGATTCTGAAGTTTATCCAGTATTTTGTATGTGGATGTCACCTAAAGGCGTTTTCTTTCCCTCCTGATGAAACAGCGGCCGAGCGGTAAAGTCGCTGAACACTGGTAGTTCGGTCCGAGGTTCGAATCCCGAGAACGGGGCTGGCTGCATGGGC